TCCGGACAGGCAGAAAATGGGCGGACTTCGTAAGGCGATCCACTATCACCCAAATCCAAAATATATTAATAATGATAATAATAATAATCCAAAATTATTCATAAACGAACGGGGCGTCACACGACCGTGGCACCCCATGCAATTTCATCACGTATTCGACAAACAATTTTGCTATTGACTTAGCCGTGTATGGATGAGTAAGTGGAATAAAATGCGCATACTTGGTAAGACGGTCGACTACCACCATGACTCCATTAAACCCATTCGAGAGTGGCAACCCCTCGATAAAATCCATGGTGATGTCCTCCCAAATACGTGTGGGGACCGGCAATGGTTGTAGCAGTCCGCCCGGTCGACGTGTGTCCGCCTTAGTGCGCTGGCACTCATCACATCGCCCAACGTAGTCGCGCACATCGCCCCTCAGTCCTGGCCAATAAAAGGTGCTCGCAATCCTCATCCATGTCCGAAACACCCCGGAATGTCCTCCAAACTTCGAGTCGTGGAAGTGTCGGATGATGTCCTCGCGCAACGATCCCGCCTCGGGCACGACGACTCGCCCACGATAAAGAAGCAAGCCATTGTGCATGTCATGGTCCTCGTCCTTGTCGCGTCCCTCGTTCAGTTTCTTGACCACGTCCTGACAATGCGCATCCTCGTTTTGCGCCTTCCGAAGCTCTGTCCAGACGGCCCACAGCGGCCCCGTAACTGCGTCGAGTTCGGCCACGTCTTCCCGGCGAGACAATGCGTCGGCTACGGTGTTCTGGCGAACAGGTCGATACACTATCTCGAAGTCGAACCCCATCAATTTGGACACGAACTTCTGCTGCTCGGGCGTCACGATCCTTTGTTCGAGCAAGTGCTTGAGCGGCTGCTGGTCCGTGACAATCCGAAAGTGTCGCCCAAGCAAATACGGCCTCCACACGCGCACGGCCTCGACCACGACCAGCATTTTCTTTACGTATTTTCGATAATAGCCCGTGAGACCAAGGAACCCTCTCAATTGCGTCAAGCTAGCGGGTCTCGGCCACCCCACCATTGCCTCGATCTTCCTTGGGTCCACCTTAATGCCCTC